CCCTAAACCCTAGACCCCTAAAACCTAAACCCCTGAACCCAAAAAATAGGAAACCCCACAAATTCCAAACCTCTGGGCTTGGAGCTCAGGGATTGCTGGACGTGAGAGCCTAGACCCTTATCTCGAACTCCTAGCTTTCTAGATCTTTCGAGGTTACCTTAGAGCCTGGGATGACAGGGTCTGGCGATTAGGATCTTAAACCCAGGGCTCCAGTTACCTAAATCATGGGTTTTTGGGTTTCATATCAGTATACGGTTAGCAACCTACTATTCATGGGTTTTGGGGGTATCATATTAGTATATGATTAGTAACCTATTATTCAAGCAACTGGAGCCCTGTGGTAAGACAGGCCCGAGCCAAACCGATCCGGACAGACGCTGGCAGCTACTCCACACAAAGCACCCTGCACGCTGTAGATAAACACACATACCCAAGGCTAAACCCTCAGCCTTACACTCAGGTGTCGTTCTACATCCACACCACCCGCACCGCGCATGTCTGAGTTTTCTCTGGGGATGCTGCAGTTTTCCAGTCTGTCTATGAAAAACTGTTTTTCGAAATTTGGAACTCTACAGGATTATTTGGCGTTGGTGAGGGTGTTTGGGGCGAATTTGGGCTTTCGGACCTTTCAGTTCGGGGGGCCAAAGGGCTTGGGGTGGCGAAGGTCACGGACTGGGGTCTGAAAGTTTAGGTTTCCCTAAGAGTCCAACTCTTCAAAATTAACCTACAAAGCTACTGTCCTAAACCCAAGTACTTGTACCTAAAAAAAGGTCCTTTAGACCCGTAGGTTTTGGGGTTTAGGGTTTAGGGTAGTCCTTTAGGCCCTTTATTTGCTTTGTTGTGTTTTTCTTTTTTTTGTTTTTTTTTGGGGGGGGTGGTGCAGATGTTGGGGTTCGGGACTTCGGGGTTCTTGGACGTCGGCTTCGGGCTTCCCTAGCGCTGACAGGGGCGAAGAGAAGAATCTCAACCCCACGCGCATAGTATAGGGACTAAATAATTACCAATACTATGTTTGGAGGTTTCTTAGTATGAGTATAAAGTAAGTTTTACCCCAGAACTGTAGCCCCTACATTCGCGAACGTCGCTATCTGGAGCCCTCCTATAAGCATGATTTCAGGTGTTCAACCGGCGGCCTCCATTCGCGTTCCTGCCTTTCTGGAGGCAAGGTGCTGGCGGTTTGTTGCTCGACACGAGAAGATACAGTGTGTGTCTGTGACCGTCTGTATGTATTGATGCACACATATGCGATGCATATACACATACATACACATGCAAGCATGCATGCTTGCTTGCATGCTGCGTGCATGCCTGCGTACTAATTATGCATGCATGGATACACATGTGCGTGCATATGAGCTTTTCCATCGAACAGCAATTTGACTAGCATCGCGAACAGAGAGCCACATGGCAGCGTTGACGGCCGCACGGAAGGACGGCTATGCTGTGCGAGGCTTTCCGTCTCAACGGAAACTTGTTGTGACCTTGAATTTGGTCACTCTCGGTCTTGAAACCAAAATTTGAAGTTCGTTACCTTGCCTCGGATTTCAAGTGGAATACCAGGACGTCTACAAGTCTTGTTTTTGGTTGCTTGCCTGCATGCCCTGGCCTGAACAGCTTCGAGCCATGCATTGGCACGGTATCTGAAGGTTTTCATTTGCCCTTCATGGCATAGCCTTGGTCACAAGTTCATTGCTTCTCAAAAACTCCGGTATGGATGGGGAGTTTGGTGCTAATCGGACCCGTCTGGCTGATGGCTTTACAAAGCAATACTCCCGTGTTCTGCAGTGGGGGGCTTGATGAGGTAGGCTGACTGGGTTGCAGAGTCCGGTAGAGTTTTTGTAGGGTCATATTCGGCTTATACAGCAGGGTTTTAATTGCTGCCGTGTTGGACAGAGGTCATCAAACCGATGTATACATGGCATAAGTTACAATAAAAACCCTAACCCTCCAGGTACCTACTATAGAGGGTACTAGAGCACCCAGAGCCCTCTATAGTAGGTACCTGGGGGGTTAGGGAATTGCTAGGATTTTGCAAAGGCAACGATGGAGAGACGCTGAAAGAGCAGTGTACGGAGGACGTGGATGAAGTTGTGGATACCCATACGGCTGATGGACAAAATCCTGCATTACCCACTATAATGAATATACCATAATTCCCATAGTTTAGGGTCCTTAAGGTCATGCAGGATTTTGTCCATCAACCGTAGGCCCCATAGTGGTTCCTTTGTGAGGTTCATATTTAGAACCCTATAAGGTAATCCCAAAAAGGAGCTACTATGGGGCCTAGGGGTGCAGTGTCGGCGCAACGCGTAGATTCCGGAATGTGAGAGAACCTGCCTACGACTGTGAAGAGTTCAGCTGTTGTTTCCCTTATTTCTGTGCACGTCTGGCCAAACACCCCTCCTAAACCCTAAACGCTAAAAGGCCCTAAACCCTATAAACCCTAAACCCTTCCCTGAACCCTAGAAACCTCGGAGTGTTGTAAACATAAGTGTTTCGGAATTTTCAGGGTGTCCAGGCCTGCAGGTCTGCCTTTTAAGGCTGCCGCGACGAAGCTCGGAAGATGAATTTCTGAAATACTCCTAAACCCTAAATCTTTTTAAAACTGTCCCTAAACCCTGAACGCTTTTAAAGCTGCCCCTATAAACCCTGAACCCTTTTAGACGGAAAATCTCTTTCCCTGGCGAAGGCACCTGATGTTCACTCGGCCTCTGGAGGCTGGGCTTCGCTGCACCGCCGCAATGTAACACGTGGGTAGTTCTCTAAATTCGGGTCCCTTTTCAGGTCCCCAATATAGTACGGCACCCTTATAAAAAGGACCCCAAAAGGGACCCTAATTTAGAAAGCTACCCACATGTCAAAATCAGTTATCAGGGTTTAGGATTTAGGGTTGAGGGTTTAGGGTTTAGTATTCATTAGGGTTCAGGATTTAGGGTTGAGGGTTTAGGATTTAGGGTTGAGGGTTTAGGGTTTAGGGTTTAGAAAATCCAAATTCCCTAACCCTCCAGGTACCTACTATACAGGGTACCAGAGCCCCTAGTAGTTCGAAGTCCTGTATTGTTCCCGTAAACCGAGATGCGATCTTTCCATAGATGTGTATATACATATATGCATGCATTTCACAGTCATATACATAGTAAAAGTATATATCCGTATAGTAGAATGTGCTCCAAGACCCTTCTTCTAATGTTCCCTACTTAAATCACACACGGAACCCCTGCAAGCCGTGAGCCTGTCATCATGCGGGCTCCTCGTGTCTGAAGACAGAAAGCCACATGATGCCGCAAAGGTTGCTTCAGTTAGAAGTCTATCCATAGGCCCCATAGTAGTTCCTTTTTGGGGTTCATGTCCAGAATCCTATAATGTAATCCCAGAAACGACCTACTATGGGGCCTATGGGTAGATTCAACTCTGTGTGTTTTGCAAGTTTGCGCATGTGTATTTACGCCTTAAGTGCGTCCTTCTGTCATTCAGGTCAGGATCATCTTCTTGGATTTCAATTTTGCTATTGCTCGTCGGTGCTCGGGTACGTATTGCACAAGGTTCAAGTCTGTAGGTCCCTCAATACGAACACTGAAACCCTAAAACCTAGGGCCTAATGGAAGCCGAGCAATGCCGCGATTCTGCGCGAAATGTCAACGTGGCGCTGCTCAGTGGCCAGACGGTTTCCCTGTGTGCCTTCCTTGCTTGGACCGTGGCCGACTTGAAACGCAAGGCGCAGCAGGACCGGGTTGCTTGAAAGAGGTACGAGCCGGATTCTATACGGGCTCTGCAAGTAAACCCTAGAACATCTTCTTGAATCTTCTTGGAGATATTTCAGAGCCTGAGATGGTCGGAGCACGAATGGAGCGACAGCCCCCAAGCCGTATTCTCAATGTTCAAAGGCCCTTTTATTGCTTTGTAGGTTTGACGTGGTTCAAAGTGACGCCTTAACCCTAAACCCTCAGCATGAAAACATAGACACTGCGAGCTCGCAAACCCCAAACAGCAAAGTGCTAAGTAAACCCTAAACCCTAAACCCTATCACGGGGTGTTCTTGCGGCTTTGAAACTGCTGTGCCGAAAGAGGCTTTCGTTTTTCATGGAGTTTAGCCATAGGCCCCATAGTAGTTCCTTTTTGAGGTTCATATTTAGAATCCTATAAGGTAATCCCAAAAAGGAACTACTATGGGGCCTGTGGGGAGACAGTTTATACCCTCAACGGCCCGAAACTGCAAACTGGAAGCTCTTTAGAAGGATTCTACTGCGCGCGTGCAAAACGATCCAAGTAAATCCGGTCAATCCTAAGCCCTGAAGTCATAAGCCCTCAACTATAAGCCTTCAACTCTAAGCGCAAAGACCTAAATACCCAAGCCCCTATCTACAATATATATATATATAATATAATATATATATATATATATATTGACATACACACATGCATATGTATGTGTATATCCCTATTTTTTCATTTGCACATATACAGGTATATGCATATATAGCTTGCATGACCCGTATGAACCCGTGCAAGAACCCTTCAAAAAAAGCAGAGCACCAGAACCCAGGAGCTCAAAGTTGGAATTTGCCGGTTGATCACGGCTCAAGGTGAGGTTTTGGCAGAGTGCCTTGGATTGAGAGTTGACCCTCTGAACCCGAAACCCTAAACCCTAAACAGATGGTTTCAGGAGTTTAGCGCAGACTGCGCGATTTCGAGGTTAAGAGCTGGTCACATGTTGAAGGTGTAGGAATTAGGAATTTCCCCAAGGGTCCAAGTACCTAATAATGCATATACTTTCTCAAGTATTAGCCTAGATAAATTAAAATCTGTAACCAAAGAACCTAAAAAGTGGGTCCTGTAGACCCTTAGGGTTTTGGCTTGGAGGTTTTGGAGTGTAAGCGCTATGGCTCAGGTCGAGTGCTAAGGTATGTGTGCCTTCTCGAATGCATCTACGGCGAATCTACGGTAACTGTACGTGCCAAGACAGTTTGAGTCCTGTCAAGCCAGAAGAACATGGTGCTCCGGGGAGCCGCGCTCAGGGAGAAGTAATTACTCACGCATACGTTTCCAAGAGTTTCTGGCACCGAGTCTCACTAGGGTGGGGACAGCGGCACGTTTTCACTGTAAAGTCTTAATGCAGGCCCGTAAACAGTTGCCAGCACTCATCTCTGGGATCCAGAGTCTAACTATACTAGGTCTAACGTTTCCTAAATGTGCCCCACACTAAATGTGCCCCACAGCCCTGTGAAAATTACTCATGCCCTTATATTCAACACTAAGCTCCTACGACCCTTAACTGAACTCTGAAGCCATTTGCTTCCTTTTCACCTGCAGTTTCCCTGCTTGGACCTTATGGCAGGGTTTAGGGTTTAGGGTCGTCGAGGTCGGTGATGTAGGCTTGTTGGTCTGGGTTTTGGGGTGTACCGGCAGGGTTCAGGGTGTGTAGGGATTAGGAAGGCAAAGCCAGTAATTGAGTAGGTTTGCAGCTGCAGGCCTTAAAGTTCCCGCCCTTATTACAGCTCCTGGGCACCTCAAGCCCTTCAGTGGGACACTCTGCAGGTAGAGCTGCAAACCTTCATTGCAAACCCGACACTGGAACGTAAAGAACGCTCCGAGTCAGACAGCCCATGTTACGTTTCGAATATTCTCAAGCGCTGCGTCGAAGGCTTTTGAGATTTGTGGGGGGCGGGAATGTCAAGGCCGGGGACATGCTATTGCTGGCATGTAGTACTATGACTAATTACTGGCGACTCTTGACAAACAAAATCGCCATTTCTGAAGGCCCAGAATAGTACCCTAAAGCCTAAAGCCCTCCACACTATGCGTCAACGTGGTGCCCAGGAGTCAGAGCCTCCATTCTACTGGAATCAGTTGTGGCGACACCTTGACTGTTGCTGGGCAAGTTTCATCGCTTGGGGATACTTGGGGCCCTTTTTGCAAAGCGCAGGGCTTGGCTATCGAAGGCGTGAGCTGCATGAGCAGATGAGAGTCGGGGTGTTGAAGGTTTAGGACCCCATAGTAGTTCCTTTTTGGGATTACCTTATAGGATTCTAAATATGAACCCCAAAAAGAACTACTATGGGGCCTATGGGTACATGCATATACACACCTTCCAAATCAGTACGTCGAAGCGTTCCTCACCAGCGACAGACCACTACCTTTCGACGGGATGTGCCCAACATCTGCTGCGATGTTCGATGACGCTTGTGATTCCTGTCTAGAACAGTGCAGATGTCATGATCATGATGGTTGTTGATGAACCTGTCGATGACGATGGTCGTGATTACAGGTTGACGACAATGACGTGCCCACCATCAAGATGCTGCGCAGAAGAACGTAGACGACCATGATGCTGTTGCTTATGAAGAAGATGACGATGATGCTATGGTGACATGACTAGCTGACCCAGTATTTGACTCTTCTCGTGTCCACGAGGCTACTGTTCGTCCTCCCCGGCTCGTGTCAACACGGCGCTCACTAGCGTTTCCGGGCAGCACGTGGCACTGATGTGCACCTTTGTCGTGCTGCGAGCTACCACTGTTCAAAGCGGCCTTTGCTGCACAGCCGTTGTGGTGGGCAGTTGCTTGAGGCTTGGCAGTGTGTGTTACTGCTACATTCAGAACACTTCTATAGCTCAGGTCAATTCCGGTTGGAGTTTTGCAGAACCTCCCGAGTCCTTCATGTCCATGGATCAGCCTGCAGCCTTACTCCCACGCCAACCTCCAAAGCTCAAGCCCTGCAGCCTGATCCACTCCAGTCCCTGACCCCGTCTCAACCCAAGAGTCCCTAGAGCCCTGCTCCTGAAGCTCCTGTCTCTACCAGCAGTTATAGTACCATTGTAGAGTTTTCATGTGGAAACACAGCATCATGGTAATGTGAAAATAAGTGATTTGCGATGCTGGTGCAAAGCGGAATACCTTTTGACTGCATCTCGACCTCTTGCATGTCTTGAAGGACTCCTTAGTACAGTAAGTAAGGCAGGCAAGGCATGTCCCTTGTAAAGAGTATGGCGATACCACGAGTGCAGCAGCCTTGCGTTTCGTAAAGGCTGAGTGCTTGTGGGGTTCAGGTTGAAGCGATTATGGCTTGAGAGCTCCTGTAAGGGATGAGAGTCTGTTCAAGTCTATTCAGGTTTGGCTTGCTACGTGGCTGCGGATCGGTTGCCACCTAGCTTGCACTGGAGCAAATTGCTTGATCAGTCCATGTCGACATCTGTAGGATGGCCGCATAGCATATCCCTAATCTTGCTGTAGTCACCTGGGCACCGGAATTGGGCTTCACTTCCTTGGGTGTGAGCATGTTTGAGCCATCCTTCTGACAGAGAGCTCATGATTTCACGGGGCATTCTATCAGATTCTATCAGACAGGCCTCAAGCTCTTCACATTAACGCCGTTGTTTACAGAATGAACCTTCCCTGGCACTAAAAGATAATATAGGGGCCCAAATAATTGCCAGTTTATTTTTTTTTTGGGGGGGGTTCCTTATTATAGTTATGGTATAATATAACCCAAAAAACCCTATTTAATTTATTAAGGCCCCTATATTACCTGCAGGTCACGGAGACCTCCATGTCCATAGACCTCCGTCCTTATAGTCTGTACGGATTTAGGGCTTAGCGTTCAGGTGTAAGGGTCGCAGACGCAGCTGCGGAGGCCTGAACTCAAACTCGTAAAAACCTTTCAGTGAGCATCAGCGACCAGAAAAGTAGCAAATACAAGCCACAAATCCATCACTGGATGCGATTCGACTTTGGGGCTTTGGGCGAAACATTCATGAGCATGTTGGTATTGCAGCGCTGCTGCACCCCTCTCGAATCCTGGTACCATCAACCCGAAACCCAAAACTTGAACCCCAAACCCTGTCAGCTTCTCGCATCTCGAACAGCCCCGAGCCGATAGACAACAGAGGTGGCAGGTTCTTGAAATTCGGGGTACCTTAATGAAGCAGGGGTCCTAGGGGTCCTCGTAAGAAGGATCCTACCTACTGGTTAGAGGGTTTAGGTGGTTTAGGGCTTAGGGTTTAGAGGGTTTAGAGGGGTTTAGGGCGGTTTAGGGTTTGGGGTTTAATTCGGACGAGTCTGTACTTGGATCTCTCATGTCATGAAACTCTCAGGTGACTTGGGGCCATCCATCCTGTGGTGGCGACAGCTCTTCAGTGAGGGGGCTCCTCAGTCGTTTTTATGCTGCCGAACCGTGCAAGCTCAAACCCAAACCCTGAAGCCCTTTAGGTTTTGCAGTCTAAGCCGGAAACCCTCAATACTAAACTTAACACGACATCTTGCAGGCCCTGCACTGCATTGCCCTACATTAGCCTATAGGGGTCGAACAATCCGTAACGGTATCCCCGTATGGTCTCGAGTATCATACACCCCAAAACCCGAATTGAGGCTCTAAGGTCTCATATTCGAAGGCTTTTGGGCCCAAAGACCATACTAAAAAGGGCTTTTGGGCTATGTTGAGCCTTAGGGAAAGCCCTGTTCGAACTATAATATACCGTAAGACACTATAATAGTGTATTATGGTATATTATCGTTCGTACTGTAGTGTACTGTAGTATATACTATAATATACTATAATGTAGCTGTTCGAACTCTGAAGGCCCCTATATTGGACAGCCGCACCGCTTCAAGCTTCGGGACTTCAGCCCGGAGCCCGATAGCAACAAGGCCCCAGAGTAGTTCCTTTTGTGGGTTATATTTAGAATCCTATAAAGTAATCCCCAAAAGGAACTACTATGGGGCCTATGGGTGTAGCCATACTTCAAACCAACAGCCTGAAGCCCCCCGGGAAGCCTTACTTCTGAATCGGGGTTTAGCGTTTAGGTTTTAGCAGAAAAGCCCCAAGATAGCAGAGGCAGTTGCAAGATGTCCAGCAGCTAGTCCTGTCGGTGAGCGCTTGCGCCGCCATTCTCGGGAACGGTCGCGTAGCCGCTGGCCTATACCCTGTTTGGGTGGCTTCAGTGCTTCTGTAAGTGGAACAGAGTTCAAGACCCCATGATGAGCAGTAGTGGTGGTTTAGTACGTGGCATGTGCGTGGGGTGACCTGGCATAGTCTGCAAAGATTTCAATATAAGCTTGTTGATCCTAGCCACGGCTCCTTGATGACCAAGAATCTTAAAGCTGCAGGATCTCGGGTGTTTCGCACTGTTTCTGTGTGGAGGCGCTGTAAGGAGCTGTATACCTTGGACAGGGGAACTTCACCAGCCGAGAAACGAACTTCACCCGGCGACCCCCAGGAAGTGCGAGCATGTCCTGATTATCTGGGGGTTTCCGAAAATAGGGGACCCTAATATAGCACCCTAAATAGTAGGACCCCTATTATAAGGACCCCCAAATAAGGTACCCCTACATAAATTTTCGGAAACTCCCATATGGGGTTTAGGGTTCAGGGTTTAAGGTTTAGGCTTAGGGTTGAGGGTTTAGGCCCTGTGCAGGTGTACCATTACACAAAATCACACAACCTCCAAATCCTATTCAGTTTGTTAAGGCTCCTATGTGAAACACTGTGAGGTCCCTCGCAGAGCTGTAAGGTTTAGGCCTTCGGTGCTTCACAAAGCCCTAGATCCTTTCCCATAACCATGAGCCCGAAAACAAAGAAAATGATCCCGCAAGGCAGTAGTCCGGTTCGAGTCGTGCATCCCAAAACCCCATCCTCAGCTCCGACACTGATTTCTGTAGTAGGTCGTGCCATGATGATACACGTAACCTCATTGGTTTGGTGCTTGGGCTTTTGTCACATTCCCAGAAGCTCCAGCATGCCGTCTGATTGGTAGGAAGCCATTCTCAAAAGCCGCTGCAACTTCTATAAAGCCCCACAGCCCGATAGAAGGATTTCTGGTTCAAGTCTTAAGGTGAACCAAAGGCCTGCACCGAAAGCCTTCGGCCTTGAAGTGGCCAAGCCGTAGAGTAATATAGGGGCCGTATAAATTACCTATACCATTTTTTTTTTTT